AGCCCATTCGAGAAGGCTTTTTGGTAGATGGCATCAAAATCAACTTCAAAGGTGTCCTGAGGCCTTTGACACATTTTAGTATAGGCGGCTCATCTCCCAGTCCTTCATTTTTTTAAGCCTCCAAGATTAAATCGAATTTTTTCTAATTTTATTTATTTCGATTTAACCTCGTCTTCCGTCAATCAATTTCGAATCTGGTGGACGGGTTATAACCGTTTTTCACTGTCCGAACAGGAGCTAGTTAGTAAGAGAGATAAAATTTCGTTTAGTCATGTCGTCGTACGTCTCGTTTCGGTTGGCAGGGCTGGTGAAAGAAATGCTCACTTTGGCCCCGCCAGGAATCGAATGAGGATCATCCTGAATCTGCTACTGTTGGTCTGTGCGAGGCTGCCCTCGGCGCAGCGTCCTGCCAATCCAATTGGTTTGAGCCGAGCTTTTGTTTGTCTCACCGTGGCAAAAATCACTATAGTCTGACATGATCACTTGGAAACATTAATCTAAATCCTGTCAATAAAGGTTTTGACTTTAGTTCGGCCTCATTTTCTTTTGGTGACATTAGATATTTGAAGATCCTCCTTACTCCTAGTGGTCATGGCAATCTCTGACATAGGACTGTTGACTTGGTGTCCTCCCCGATTACTAGTTGCCACCATCAGGCCTTAGTGTCTCCGGACTAGCCTTAGTCAAGGAGACGGGTGGAGAGGCCTTTCTTCTTGCTTGAACTAGGTTGGGGATACGAGTTCAAGACAGGTCTAAGCATCAAAAGGGGGCCAGAAACAGACTACATTTGTCCGCCTTCGTAAATGATGTTTTATGGGTTTGGTTGTAATTGTTGTGCTTACTTCCATTTCAAGTGAAAGTGTTTGTTGAAAAGACTCGAATGCCGATCCCACCAGAAGATGATGGCGGATTCCTCTTGACCAGATGTCGATTGGCTTTACTGAAATATTTTTGCTGACGCTGTTTCCGGGGCAATCTCCTTCGGTCCCGGTGGAGACGTGTCACGCTTGCGTCGTTGCGTGACGAACATCATCAGAGCGGGTCTTTATTCTTGCAACCATATTCAAGCTAACGAGTAAAAAAACTGTATATATACACTATATCCAAGCTCTTTGCTGGGGTATAAAGTGTTTTGGTCAGTTCAAGTTATATGTCAACCTCGAGGCATATGCGTGTGCCTGTTTTTGTGTGTTTGTGTGCATTTATGTGTTTTTATATGTATGAAACCAGCAGTGATGGTTCAAAGTAATTAGAGCATACGTTCATTTCTGTTCTCGGTCATTCCTTTTTGATGAGCACTCATTGCCGATATTTTTGAATACTACTTAAATCGAAAATAAGCAACAAGGTCAGGCACCTAAATTGACATATGTTTTCCTCATTTTTCCCCTTGTTTTCTAGTCCTGCGAAAGCGGCGCAGCGCCAAACCTCTTCTTCCCGAGTTCCCTAGCTGCTGCCGGCTGTTTCTCCGGTATTGACCTGGTCGTCCCGGCCGGCATGGGTTTGTCGCAGGACGTTGCCACGTCTAAGCCCGGCCTGATCGGATTCGAGGCCAGTTTGAGCCAGGCCTTAGGGGAGAGCCAAGTCAAAGGCTTCACGGAACCGTCTCACTTCACCCCGGTCCAGTTGGGCAAAGCCCTCGGAGTCGACGGCTCATCCGCCGACCTCTTTGCTCCTCTTCACCGCGCCACTGCGGTCGTCGTGGCGGCGGCAGCAAGTGCTGCAGCTGCGGCTGCCGCAGCGACGACGTCAACAACGACGAAGACGACGACGATGTCGACAACGACAAAGACGACGACGACAGTTTCCAAGGCCTCTTCGAGTCTGCAAGATTTGGTCGGTCTTTCGATCGGCCGACCGGACGCTTCTGTCGGCTCGAAGTTCGACGGTCTGTCGGTTCTGTTCGCGGCGGCCAGTTCGCCGCACCACCTTCAACAGGACCAGCAGCATCAACCGCATCATTCGCATCAATCGCATCAGCACCAACAGAGGTTGATGTTCCAGAGCCTGGGCCCTCTGGCCGAGTCGGGCAATCTGGACATGAGCCGGTCGACCAGCACCCCGATACAGTTGGAGGTGACTGGCAGCAGTCTCGGCCTGGACAGCTACCAAGAGCAGAAGGAGACGAGCGAAAAGATACACAAGGAACATGAAGAAGAGCAGGAGGAGATGGAACAGCAGGAAGAAGGTCAGGAGAACGAGGAAGCGGAGAGGAGAGGCGCGAGGTTCATGAGTGAAGCCGTGTCGTCGCAGTCGCCCCTCTTCCGGCCGGCTCATCTGCCCGCCTCCATGTCGACGATCCTCGTGCCGAACAAACTGTTGCTCTCCGTCTCCGGTCTGGCCGGAGACAGCAGACGCGTCTCGGCCTCGCCCCCGCCCTCGGCCTTGGCATCACCCTCAGCTCCGCTCTCGGCATCCCTCGCCTCCGACGTTGCCGGCTGGTCGAGCCATCGGTCCTCCGGGGCTCGGTCCCAGGCCGGTCTAATGCTGGCCCAGGCGCCGGTCAGTCCGATTTTCGCCTGTCCCGGCTTCGAGCCGACCGGTCGACCCGCCGGCGGCTGGCTGGACGACGACGCCTCCGTCGCTACCGCAACGGCAACCGCCAACGTCTCTGAGGCGCAAAGCCTTCATGAAGAGATCACATTGCCGGTCACCTCGACGACGACGACGCCGATAATGGTCGTCGTCGGGCCGTCTCCGGCCGAGGAAGACGCCTACCGAATGGACGAGGATGGCGGCCTCTCAGGGGACGAGGCCTGTTGCCAACTCGGCCTGGCAAACGCCGCCGACTCGGATGGCGTTAACTTGAGCAGTGACTCTGCGCGTCGGAAACAACGCGACGATGCCAAGGTCGGTTCTCTCGTCTTCCCCTTTTCCTCTCACCACAAAGTAGCCTAGGCCGCTGCGTAAAGCGATTTCCTGAGTGATACCAAAACCTCTTCACAATCATATCAGCTGGTCTAATGTGCCAGTCTTCTTCCCCTTTCCTACCAAAAGCATTTCGATTTCTAGACTGACAGGTTAGGGGCGTACCCATACGGCAACTAGGCCCTCGTGTTGGTTGTTACGGCTGAAGCCCTCGCAATAATCAC